CAGCCTTAGGATAAGGGGACGTTGAATGCGAGTTACATCGTGGTAGGCCGTTTCCAGATGCGATATTACGTACCATCGGTATAACTATATTGATATCAGCAAATGGCGAGACAAATGATGAACCAGAAGGAGACCCCCACGAACAGACTAAACTGGATGAACTCTCATCGACCTATGCTCGGGGAAATGTGAATATTAAGAGGAACTCAGTGTGGAAACCCTTCACTCGTTTTTTTTAACAATCTTACACCTCACAGTTCTCAAAAAATGCCTCAAATTTTTCTAGATCGCAGAATCTTACTTTTTGTAGTTGTTGGATGGTGTTAGTTGCTTTACTGTCGTCTGTCACTCCAAATTCGCCCGCTTTCCTTATATCATCATCACTAATTTATTCATTTTGCCCCACTGTAGATTGTCAGAGATTGACAAATTTTATGATGATTTCCTACCGGTTATTGCCCCATCTCTTTCTAACAGCTTGCACTTGATAGCTGGTGACTTTAACCACACACCCTGCACCCTTAGCTGTGTCTAAACCTTAGTGACCTGATTATTGAATCGACTAGAGGAAACTCTCATCTAGACCACATAATCACAAACCACGCTCACACCTTTTCCACCAAACAGTGCTCTCCTGTAATTTTCCTTGATTTGTTGAAGCCAAATTTCAAGTTGCTGAGGCGTGGCCTCTCAACGATCAGTCGTGTCTCCCAAGTTCCGCTATCTTTTCTGATCGGCAATATGTGTAGTGTCCATATTGGTGCATGCTTGAAGTTTGCTGACAATATCCTATCTGATGGCACCCATCCTGTACATATTGACTTGCGTGCACGCAAACCCCACCCCTCCACCCGTTCCAAGTACAAACTTATCCCGTCTAGCATATCCGCATGCAGAAACTCTTTGGTACCCTATCTTACCCGGATACTGACCGACAAGGAAAGTGTTCGTTTTGAGCTTTCTAATGCATTTTGTAATTAACTCATACCTTTGCACGTTTTCACATCCCACTTTCCCCCTGTTTTTACCAGAATTGTAACGGTGGTCTATTTTTTGGTTGAAAGCTTATATATAACTCACTCAAGCTTGAATACAATACAATACAATTAGAACAGCGGAATGTTCAGGAGCTGAATAGTAATTCGGTTTCTATATAAACTGTTATCAGCTCTCTACTGCTTAGGGAGCGCTGATTTTAGCGCACAATCTATTGAGCTAACTGGAACTGTTGGATATTTGACGAGCCGATTTCATGGAAGAATCGACTCAAACACAGGAGAATGTATGACGATGAACATGAGATGGAGCAGCGCCCTACTGTGCACATCTAGAACAGCGAGTAGATCAACAATGACCCGAGTTTTCGTGAACAATCCGCTTAAGGATATTCGAAAACCGATTCACTGCACGTCAACAGTCACTGAGGCACTTTTTATCACCACATAACAAAAACGATGCTCAGACCGGTGGGCGAAATATAGGAGCCTGAGATTACAAGGGCGTGTCATTTACTACCCACATGCGGTAAAAGAGGCATTTTTCACTTGCGTTCCGTAAGGTGTGCTAGCGCGACAGAGACCGTACTAATGAGTTTAATCAAGACAGGGACCACGGTTATAATATGTGGTCTCAACTGTGTCAGGTATCGTGATTATGGTAAATCAAGCGAGACAAGATTTGTGGAATGTTGTGGTTTTCCCAGGCTACGGAAATATCTTTGGAAAGGTTTGGTAGATTCCACCTGGATGCGTTATCTTATGGTATGCGTACACAGTTGCATAATAAACTGATCACCGAAATTATCGAGTTCAACCATAAAATTGCCCGCAAATAACACTAGATTTTTTGTGACCCAAGACGTACAGTTTTTCAGTCCTGAAGAAAACAAAAAACATTTGTTCCGGGAAAACGTTCCAGACATGTTTTAAAAATAATAAAATACTTCTTTCAGCATCGAAACTACAAAACATTTATTTCACAATCCTTTCAATATCGATGGTTGTCGTCAAATTTCACTGGTAAACATAATACTGATCCGGGTTTCCATTTTTTGCTGACAAACTCGAGAAAGATGGGTGGGTTAGCATTGAATTTACTCAATGTTTCAATTTAAAAGGATCTAATCTCCGGAGTTTAAACTATGGTTGTTTTATCTTTTATTTAACCTTTTAATGAATTTATTCTGATACCTTTTTCAGGAAGATGGAAGCCTCCAATCGAAGGTTAGCCGTACAAAAAGCGGGAAATTGGGAAAGTAAACCGGTGGTGGTGGCGGGTGGTCAGGATTTTGATAACATTAACCACTTGGCTACCACCATACTACAGAACTTCACTTCATTGCCGTAACCTTCTTTCACTAACTACAATTGTTTCGAAGGCAAAACGAACGAACGAGGGACTATGTGGTTGATGGACCATGAGTAAATTGTCCACCCATGGGAAGCTGAATCGGAGTTAAGCCTAACCCCTGCACTGTTCTCACAATTTTTCGACTCGTCCTGGGGGCTATCGTGTCCGAGGTTCGATAGATGAACCTGGACGCAGCACACACCCCTTATTCGTAAGACAGTTAATCAAATGGTTCAATCAAAGCAGTATTTTGTTCGAAAGCGTTCGTATTGATAATTCACATCTATGGGGGTTCCAACGGTGATCGACCCATGGTTCTTTATGCTTGTTGAACATACACATATACACACGAGCTCGCACCAACAAATCAATCATTAACAAATAGTTTGATGGACGGACGGACAGGTATGATGCTTATTATCGGACAGATGGACTGGTAAACAGGCTGCGAAATAAAGCCAATCCTTTTGTGCTCCCTCTGTATGTCCGCTTTTACTTTCTATTACGTCTATCCAGTTGTCTGTTTGTTTGTCTGTTCGTTCGCTCGTTCATTCGTTCGCTCGCTCACTCGCTCTCTCGTTCTTTAAAAAATCGCTCTACTCACACACCTAACACGCCTCACAAATCCCACGTAGAACGGAGAAAAATCCGTTCCCCAACCAGAGTTCCGTCAATCTGTTTCGCCGATTCCCCTAACCGCCCCCCCCTCCCCCCGCTCCCGTCCGCACTACTCCGACCACTAATTCCAGCACTGTTTCTTAGACTGTATACACTTTCGCTCCATCCCGTACGCGACCTCTGACGAGCATTGTATCGGTGACGTTCGAACCCCCGGAATCGGTTCACATAACATACACGAATACAAACTGGAA